TTACCTCATTGTTTTTTAAGTTAAGAGATTGGACTGACTTTTTAATCTCGTGATATTCTTGACGAACACTGCTTATTTCCAACTTTATTTCAGCGAAGGATGCATTTAATTTCTCAAGATCAGTTTTTAATACAAGGTCCAAATTGTTTTTAATACCGGATACTTCGTCTTGAATTTCCTTTTTCCAGCTATGCAAAGTACAACGTATCTCTGATGTAAAAGTTTTGAGAGCCTCTGAGAAATCGCTATCGTGTTTACGCTTTCGAGTAGTCATACTGCTTGGCTCACCCGATTTATTGATGTCAGGGTTGGAACTGTAAAGCTTGTCTGGCGACCGCAACATTACGAAGTACCAATTCTGCAAAAACCTTTGATCTATGAAATAACACAGAACTGTACCACTTTTCTGAATTAGACCTTATGTGTACTAATTAATAAGGTTTATATTTGAATAAATGTAATGGACTACAACCAACAACACATCCACTCTCTAAGAACGTCGAATGATGAAGTTTTGACAGTTGGATTAGTTATGGACTCTGGTTCTGTATTCGGATAGCCATCGTAGCCCTTAGACCATCAACTAAAAATTATTAAGATTAAACTAACTACACAAAATAAAAATAAAAACATAATTTCTAAAATAATTTATTGTCAACCGTTCATTTAGTTCTAGTATTATGAAAAACAAATCAACTGCTATAATAACGATTGTTCTAATCAACTACAGCTTTATAGAGACAATAAAATATTTTCTACTATATAAAAATTTATGTTTGTTCGTACTTTCTACGATGCCATACCGTTCATCAGATTGCGGTCAAACTTAGTCAACTTCTTGGTTGCATTTGTGCGAGGGTTATATGCATGGTACAATTAACTGACACTTGGTGGCGTGCGTATTATACCGACTATTTATTTGAAAGTTATAGAAAGTTATATATCATTATATTTCAATGATTGTATTATCATTCCTAATTATACAATATAACCTGTCCCACATTCTTAACAATATTTCCACAATTATTTCTTCTGCGGCAGCAATGCGCCGTGTACGAGCTAGCAAGATAATATAAAAAAATATAAACTTAAAATTACATAGTTAGCAGTTATCTACAACGTCATTTTCGAAATTAAAATTACAATATTTAAAAAAATAACTGAAATTATCATAAAGTCCTACTTTCTGTGGTAACATCCCAAGAATGCTGGCTACATGTCCTCACTGAATGGCTATACTTAGCCTTCAAGCGAGGAAACAACAAACTAAACAACTTCTTATTACCAGCAGCGATGATCAGTCGCAGATAGACAGTTTTTTAGGAACTACACCGCACGTGCACCCTACGTACCAATAGTCTCTGAAGCAAATTGCACAAATATGTACATATCTTCCAGATACTCTAGGCTATTTACTTAGTTCAGTTGCCTCTAATGCCACCCCTGCTTAAGACGAGGTACCCCTGAGATGGGATGCTGTCAAAGTGTTCGCAAGTAGTCTCCCATTCTAAAGCTTTATCTCTCTCTCTTTCTCTCTCTCTCTCTCTCTCTCTCAAGCAACCAAACCCATACCGTCGGGTCTCCTTGTATCGTCTCTAAATATTCTACAAAGATCTTAAACCGAGGAAACATTTACAGAGATACGAGCTGCACTACGGACTCCCCGAGCCCGATATGTGAATGGAGCCAGGGAAAAACAAGCACTTGGAATCATCAAGTAGTGCAGCCTCACCAAAGTCGCGAAAGATAGTCGAGTGGCACATCGCCAATCGACATACCAACACTGCTCTTCCCTTACGACTCCACCTCGACTACAGCCGTCCAGGGAGAGGAATCTCCTCTAGCCGCAGCCCACTAACACACATCTAACGTGGCTTGACATCATGAGGCGATCTTTCGACACTTGGCTATGGCCCTTGAGTTTGGTGGAAAATGAGGAAAGAAGAAATAAAAAAACATTCGAAATAATAATCTAATACTTTTATACTTAATGGTTACTGGTACCAGAAAATATTGTCGGTATACTGCACTTTTTCAAAGTGGTATATCATGTCTAATAAAACTGTAAAATGTTTGGAACAAATATGATCATTTTGTTTCGGACGGCAGTTTATAATATTTATGCTTTTAAGGCATAATTTTAGTCTAGGTTCAGTTGGATACCTGTTAATTAATAAACATTTGATAATCATCCGTTGTTGGCGACTTTTTTGTTAACACATATGGGTAGGAAAGAACATCGATAAGTATTATAGACAAGGAACTCGACAACCCTATTGAATTTTATTGTTTATCAAAACTCAGCAATATATACCCAAACATGTTGGCATATATGATATGATTAGTAACAAATTTTTAAGTACTTATATTATCAAATAGTTTTAATTTGTTTAATATTTGCTGCAAATTCAATTACTTGTGAAATGTTATACCACTCCTTATGCGAGTACAGATTACGCACACTCTCATTATTAATAAAAATAATTCTAATAAGAATACAACATAACAATGTAACTAATATTATACACAATCAAACAACAAAATAATTTCGTTTTTTAGTTTAAAAGTTCAAAATACAGACTTATGAAATAAGACAATATAAATAAGACAACAGACTTTGGCATATTATGTCAATTTTATTTTTCAAGACATCCTTTAGCGGCGCTTCAAATTGGCACAGTCATTTTGTATGGTATAGCCCAGAGTTCCCCAAACTTTTTTGTGTCGTAGACCCCTTGCCATGTTTTTCCGTGTTGGGTAGACTCCCCCTACTTACCTGATATTGATTTCCTGTAAATATCTAACTGTAGTGAAGTTTAGTGTTAAAAACTTAAAGTAAAAACACATGTTAATTTATACATTTATTAATTGAATTTAAATTAAAACTACTCAAAATAAAATTTTGTACCTGTTATGTAAAATATACGTAGCATTAAATAAACATAAAATAAACTATAAATAAAATAACATAAGCAATAAGTCAATATTTTTAGTGAGAGAGTGATACCAGTTTATTTTATAAAATTGCAAAGGTTTTGCTACGAGGTGGCAAGTGACGATTCGACTCATTTGGCCTTTATTTTGTTTAATATTTTGATACATACTAGTTATCGATTCTTTTATATTATATTCAGAATGCTATTGAGATTGAGCTAAATATTTAAATCATTTGACAAGATGTTAATGTAATGGTTATTATTCATCACAAACTAATAATAAATTTTCGTTAATATATTTATTTTGTACATTATATTTATTTTGAAATCGCTTATTTCTCACGTCAAGAACTATGTTGGCAACACTTGGTATTTTACGAAAATATTTAGAAAATACGAGTTTTAAGGATAATATTATGTTTAAAATATTCAGAGATGAAAAGTCACGTTGTCCTTTAGTCGATTTGACCTACACCTAGTCGGTCGGGACCGATATTTGCTGGAGCCTTCTAGATGTTTCGGTGGAAAAGGCAGTATTGAATTGGCGACACAAGCGAAGCTTCGAAGCGAAATAAAGTGAACTAAAGTGATCAGTGTGATTAATTATTAGTGTGTTTTAAATTTTAATTGGTGTTCGGCAATTAAAGTGTCAATTTTAGTAATTCAATCGGCGGTTTTTATTGTCACGAACCCTAATCTCGTAACATTGTGATAAAGAGTTTCAAGGATAAATCGGGCTAGGCTTCTTGAAATTCTACAAAATGACTCAGGTCCAACTCTTTGAAACTTCCCGTGCGAGTTTGTCGGCAAATTTATTACCTACAATACCCGCGTGACCCGGAACCCATTGCAAGACGACCCTGTTGTTGACATTCCAGGGCGTTTAAACGGTTCACGCAGTCTCCAACTAGCTTTGAGTTCACTAAGTTCGACCTCTGCGCTAGCAGTGCTGCTTGACTATCAGAGTTCATATAAATTATATGGTTGACGTAGTGTTTTTGCAGATTGATTTCCGCACACTGAAGTATTCTGAAAACTTCTGCCTGGAAGATAGAGTTGAATTTACCCAAATTCATACTAAGTTTGAATTTGGGACGTTCCCCGTAAAAGGCCAAAGCCTACGTTGAGGCCCATTTTTGACCCATCAGTATACCATAAGAGGCTACCGACCTCACAATCAACCTGATCATTCAGCCAGTTTTCTCCGGAGGGTAGTTCCACTATATACTTTTTATCAAAAGTGTGTAGTGGACGCATTATTTAAAGCGACAGTAGCCTAATGGCAGAGCGCGGACCGCGAACTCAAAAAGGTCGTGGGTTCGAATCCACCATTCGACTACTGGCGTAAACCACTCGTAACACAAGCAATTTAAGCTTACCACGAGGGGTTAAGGGGAATATTAGTAATGTTTATAGCATTGTTAATATCGTTGTCTAAAAGTGTTAAACTGCTAACTCCACTTTTGCTAGTATGAAGTTTTTTATGTCGATGGAAAGAGAATAAAATACCTTTCAACTCGAAAGGATGCTAAATACATCCAAATTAAACAAAACACGAAAAAATCACGCAATCAAAACTGATAAGTACAGCGTACCAAATTTCGCGCGTAAAAAATGACAACTCAGCCATTTTGTTCGTGCGTCCGAGCAACTACAAAGTGTTTGCGATAATTTATTGTAAAACAAATAGTTTTTGGTTATCACACTTATTTCTGCATTGATTTTGTATATATCTATTGCACTTATACCCATAGTTCTATAATAGCTTCCTACTGTATTGGTATAATCTAAACTAAGTCGGGTAAGCCCACGGGGCGCCTACAAGTCTACTATAATTTACCTACTGTAGATATTAAGTATGCCCACGCGTTAGTTTCGATTTAACCGATCCGATGGGAATACAAGTACTTACGGCTGCTCTATTTCTTTGCAGAAATGTTCTTTTTACTTACCTAGGTTAACATACGTACCGTATTAATATAGTCCTTTTGGTGAGGTAGAATTCTTTTGGTATTGGTTTGCTTTATCTTGGTTTGCGGGCTTACTTTGTTTGTGTTGTTGCAGATGAGCAAAAAGTTTAATTCTCGAGGGAAACGAATTGTTGAAATGAGTTTGAGTAAAAATGCACTTGATGTCATGCCCAACAGCTCATCAACTTTATCTGGTAACATACCTGCTTTTGCTTCTCACGATACTGAACACTGTTTCTTTGACAGTGAACTACAAAAAGTTTTACCAACTACCCTTAGTATTGATCCTAACTCAAACCTCGTCATTTTAACAACACCTACTAATAACAATGATTGTGACATGACCCAAAGCAATAATGAAGACGCTCAGATAGACATAAGAAGTTTATCTGTAGTTCTTGAAACGTCTCTCGCCACTGAAAGTTGTCACGACACAGTTGCTTTTTCCAACACTGGCCCTTCCACTATAGAATTCACTAATGACATAAATAGTGTATATTGTGCTAATACGGATTCAGCACTTCTTGGAAACAGCCTACCTAGTACTATTAATATCATTGGCGCTGATCAAAACTCGAATATAGATGTTCAAGAGCTCCAATGCACTACAGAATCTTCTGACCCTATGCCTAGCACATCTACTGGCATGGTTTTTACAAGTACTGTCTGCAATGTCGAAAGTTATGAAGGACACAACAGCGACAGTTGTTCAACTACAAATAGTAATATTTCATTGAATTTGATTTCGAATCAGCAACATAAAAACCTTAATGAAATTGAAACCTGAGTGAAGTACAAGAATCAGATAATAATATGAATTTGGTACCGTATTCAAGTTCATCTGATAGTGACACTGAACTACCCATTAAAAGTAAAATCAGAAATAAAAAAACACAAAGTTGATCGTAAAAATTGGTTTGCAGTTAAGAATAGAAATTTAAGAGAAACTGGGTCCAAATACTATGGAAGAGTGAAAAAAGATTCAAAGTGGGTTTACGAAGTTGAAAAAGAACCAAAAAAAACTGAAGGATCGTTGCAAGTGTAAAGGATCAAAACTATTAATGTGTGACAAAATAAAAGAAAATCTGAGGAAAGAGACTTTCGTTAAGTTCTGGAAGAAATTATCTTGGAGTGAAAAAAAAAGTATACATTGATGAACACGTAATATCCTTACCAGTCAAACGACAAAGAGACCGTAAACATGTGGAAGAATCCCGGAGAACACAATCTTTGGTCTACTACTTGCCTGGTAAACCCGGAGAACCTAAGCTGAGAGTTTGCAAAACTATGTTTCTGAACACATTAAATATTGGTAGAATGGCAGTACTTGGATTGAAAAAGAAACTCAATGACGGCAGCAAACCTAGCGAGCAACGTGTTACGTCACAAAATATTCCCGTGGTTGATGAAAGACACTCTAATATTACAGAATTTTTCTGCGCTTTACCTAAAATGGAATCGCATTATTGTCGAGCGTTTACTTCGAGGATTTACTTACTACCTGAATGGCAATGCAAAAAGGCCCTGTATGATTTCTACGTTTTAGACTGGTGCGCTTCACGCAATATAAAACAGTTCTCAACGACAACTTTTTACAAGTCTATGGAAGATAGTAACATTTCACTTTTCTGGCCAAAAAAAGACGAGTGTGAAAAATGTACCTACTTTATACAAAGCAGGCATTTTAGAAGAAAATGAGTACCGTTTGCATACAATTAAGAAAGAAGAAGCCAGGAAAGAAACGGAAAAGGATAAAGAAGATTCATCGTGCATTGTGATTGCCGCAGATGTGCAAGCTGTTTTGCTTTGTCCTGTTTCCAAAATAAGTACCCTTTACTACAAAACGAAGCTCCAAGTCCATAATCTTTGCTTCAAAAATTTTAAAAATACAGCTCCGTTTTCCTGACATCGGGAATTAAAGTGAGGTAGGCGTTAATGCCGAAGAGTTTGTTTCAATTTGGATACATTTTTTAGAAAACGAAATAATCCCTCTGTTATCTTCTGAATGCAATAGGATTGTTATTTATACAGATGGGTGTGGCTACCAAAACAGAAATGCTGTATTATCAAATGCTTTGCTTAATTTTGCTGTCAAACATAATGTGTCTATAGAACAAAAGTATCTAGAAGTTGGCCACACCCAAATGGAAGTTGACTCCATGCATTCCGCAATCGAGAGAAATCTAAAAAATAAGATTGTCAATGTCCCAGCTGATTACATAAATATTATTAAAAACGCACGAAAAGAGCCTTACACAGTACAATATTTAACACACGATTTTTTTAAAGATTTCAACTGTGTTCAGGCTTATAAAAGTATTAGACCAGGACGGTCAGTCGGTGATGCAAAAGTTAATGATATTCGTGCACTACAATACAGGCCTATAGGAGAAATATTTTACAAGATAAGCTTTAACGATCCTTGGACTGTTGTGCCGCAAAGGAGAATAGTAGTCCCGAATTTTCTGTATGATGAACTGCCAGTTTTGCATCAGAACCGTTTACCTAACAAGGAGAGAAAGTATCAAGATTTGCAACAAATCAAGTTACTCCACTATCGCAATACGGCAATACCCCACTAATTTATCAAATAAATAAAATATTTTTCCGTTTTTCATAACTATGTTTTTAATTTCTATACCTTTTCTTAAAAATCGTAAATATTGCTAACTCCACATAATCTTGTAATATATTTGTGATGACTTAGATAGTATCCTACCTGAGCCACAATGTTAGGGTCTGGACGAAAATGAAAGTGGACTGTATATTCTTATACTGATATAATCATCCGTCTTACATCCAAAAACCACCATCCACAGATAACTCCTTTTTTTTTTTGTTATAAAACTTCTTCAAAATTTAATAATTTATATAGATTGTATCATAAACAAATAAGTAAAATTAATGTTGACTAACGGGATTTTCAATTTTCGGCTGTGAATCACAAAACGAAAAATGTAACGTTTTATTGTTCTCCTGAAAATTCTTACAAATGGAGTTAACAGTTTCACGGATTTAGACGACGATATTCTTTTATGAAAAAAAATTATATCTGAGATCATAATTGAGTCGAGCACGGATCTCAATCTGTAGGAGAGCAAGCTCTAACCGCCTTGAGCGTTAATTCTATACAAACTAGCCTTCGTCTCCTTGTCTAGATAAAGATAAAGTGGCGTTAGGCATAGCATTAAAAGCCACTCCAGCCGATGGTCGCATAGTTCCAGTTGCCATTAAGCAGACAATCCTTTCTAGTCTGTCGCAGTCGTCTTTTGGTTACCTTGTTGCACCAGATCCCTAAAAAAGGCGACCGCTCAGACCCGTCCAACTACCGGCCTATCGCCATCACCTCCCTGTTCTCCAAAACAATGGAGTCCATTGTAAACTGCCAGCTCATGAGGTACCTTGAGGATCACCAGCTGATTAGTGACCGCCAATACGATTTTCGCCGTGGTCGGTCAGCTGGTGATCTTCTGGTTTACCTAACTCACAGATGGGGGGAGGCAGTAGATTCCAAGGGGGAGGCATTGGCCGTTAGTTTGGACATTGCGAAGGCCTTCGATCGGGTTTGGCACAAAGTGCTTATTTCGAAGCTTCCATCCTATGGGCTTTCCGAGAAATTGTTCGATTGGATCACCAGCTTTCTTGCAGATCGGGGCATCAAGGTCGTTGTAGACGGTGCAAGCTCCGATTGCAAGCCTATTAATGCTGGTGTTCCACAAGGCTGCGTGCTATCGCCAACGCTGTTCCTTCTGCATATCAATGATATGTTGCAAACCCGTAACATTCATTGCTATGCAGATGACAGCACTGGTGATGCTCTTTACATCGGCCGAGCTAATATTTCTCGGGAAAACGTCTCCGAGTGCCGGGACAAACTTGGGTCTGAAGTCGAGTCTTTGCTGAACAGAGTCTCGGATTGGGGGCGACTAAATCTAGTCCAGTTTAACCCCCAGAAGACACAAGTTTGCGCGTTAACCACTAAAAAGAACCCCTTTGTCGTATCTCCTCAGTTTCAAGGCACTCCCCTTGTTGCCTCAGCCAGTATCGGAATCCTCGGCGTCGACATATCGAGTGAATTGCAGCTAAAAAGCTTGGCGTGCTCAGCAGAGCGGGACAGTATTTCATGCCGGCACACCGCCTGCAACTTTACAAGGCGCAGGTTCGGCCGCACATGGAATACTGTTCCCATCTCTGGGCTGGGGCTCCCCAGTACCAGCTCCTTCCACTTGACCGCATCCATCGCAGAGCGGCTCGAATCGTCGACGACCGAGTGCTTTCCGATCGGCTCGATTCACTGGCACTGCGAAGAGATGTTGCATCTCTTTGCATTTTCTTTCGCATATACCATGGAGAGTGCTCTGAGGAATTGTTCGGATTAATCCCAGCCGCCAAATTTCGTGAACGCACTACGCGGAAAACGTCCCGATACCATCCACGCCATCTGGATGCTTGGCGGTCCACCACTGTACGTTTCAAGAGGAGTTTTCTTCCGCGTACAACCTCTCTGTGGAATAGTTTACCACCCTTTAGACAGATACAGACCCTTTTTACTGGAAATGAGGCATTCCATCTCAGTCCTCCCGGGTGACAACGCATCTGCATTTTGATTTGTAATGGAAGATAGATGTAGATGTCTATGGGCCGCAGCAACCACTTACCATCAGGTGGCCTGTGGGCTCGTGTGGCCCCCTATCCTATTAAAAAAAAAAAAAAACCAGCGATTTTTCCGAACCGATACGACCTGGGGACTGTTGGGAACCGGTTGCATATACGCGCGGGTGGAGACGCGCGGGAGGACGACACGTCGACGTCTGGTCGGGCGGCAGCGACGCGGCGGCCACTCGCTTTACGATATTCCACCGCGGTCGGACGACAACACTAATTTTAATTTATAATAATAATTTTATTAAGTAGACCGGGTTATTGTAAAGTACGGATGATTATATCAGCCCTATAAGAATATACAGTCCACTTTCATTTTAACCACGTCCCAAGACTCTAACATTGAATTCTGTTTCATGCCGACGCTGGGCATTTGTGGCCAATTAGTTTCAATGTCTGTTAAGAAAGGTGGCCCTGACCACCACAATTCTGAACCGCTGATGAGGTCAGCCTTCAGCCCATGGGAAACAAGATCCGCCGGATTGTCCTTCGACGGTACGTAGCTCCACGTTGACAGGTATAAACAGTAATTCATCTCATATTACACAGTCTTGCAGCCTTAACATTAAGTCGCTTCATAATGACTATAGTCTTACTGTAGACTGCCTTATTTTGCCTGAGATCACTAAAGCTTTACCGTCTTCTTTCATAGACATACAAAATATTCCTTTTCCGATGGGAATAAGTTTAGCCGACATTTCCTTTAACATACCGTCGGTTATAGACATCTTAGTGGGTGCCGAAGTATTTTGGTCCGTCTTATGTAATAATTCCATTGACTTGAGCAAAAATCAGCCTAAGTTGTATGAGACAAAACTGGGTTGGCTGGTGTCCGGGCATGTCGCCCGTTTTAAGGCACCGTCTTCGTCTCCCGTTTGTCACTGTATAAGCGAGGACTCCAATCCAGACTTAACTCGTTTTTGGGAGTTAGACACTGTGGCAGCAAAACACTCTTTGTCTCCTGAGGAGCGTGCCTGCGAGCAGAGCTTTTTAACAAACACCGTACGCAGCGAGAACGGTAGCTTTGTCGTCTCCATGCCGCTAAAGGACGATCCGTCAGTCTTAGGAGAATCCTTTCAAATGGCCAAGTGCCGTTTCTTATCTTTAGAGCGCAAATTTCTTCGG